GATGAGGAGAGTCTGCCTGACTGGACCGCAAAACCTTTATGGTCACACACACACACAACAGTAGGGGTATATGGGTGAGTTTGAGTGTGTGGGGGTGTTGCAAGTGCAGCAGTGACATCCCTGGCAAACCCTCTTAGATATCCGGGCTTAAGCTGGAAATTTCCCAGCAGCCTGCGAGCGGCGGCCTCGAGCTCTTGGCTCGTAATTCCAGCCAACCTCTTTACGCATTGTTAATTTTTTATGGCCAAAACGAAAATTTGCACTCAAGATTTATGTGGCGGTGGACAGAGTGCTCCAATTCCATACACCAAAGCAACAAAATTGGAACTGGAACCGGAATAAAAGACCAAAAGGTAAAGGACTCCCTTCACTGAGTTTTTCCTTCCTAGTCCAAGCTATTCGAAAACCAGGGAAATTTCTTTCAGTTTTCTACAAATATGCAAGTGCATGTACAATATAGCAATCCAATTTCTTATATGCCAAATATTTTCAGTAGCTAAATCATTCCTGATTCAGGGTCCCAAAGCCTTTGGCAACGAATTTGAATTTAATTTTTTAGAAATGTTTGGCCCGTGTTGTTTGCCTCTCGCTTGTCGCCCCACAATCACCGCAAAAGTGCTAAATTACCAAGTAAAATATAGGTAAAGAGCATTGCCAGAGCTTGCCAGCAACCAAATTTAATTAATGCTGAAAACGTTGGCATTGCCGAGACCAGAAAATCAAAGATTTCCTCCGTAATATATTTGATAAAACTAACAGTTTGGTGACCAATGCTGTCAGGGGTTTCTTCCAACTCCGGTTAGCCTTGGAGCTCTATAGCCTATCCATTAGCCCGAACAGTAGACCACAAAAGTTTGTTTACCGGCTAGGATTGGAAATGGGTGGGACAGTGGGAAGAACTTTGGAACAATATTTATGTCATCTATCGCAAGGCATCCGACGTATTCGTTTCATTTAGTTAGCATTTTCTAATGAATTTCTGACCAAAAAAGTTTCAAACAGTTTTTGGCTGTCGACTGCTTTTGTTGGACAAAGCCTTGAGGATAAATTTCTGGCTGGAATCTGCATAAAGTTACAATAATTTCTGTTGAAATAAACTATGTTCAATGCATGTGGTTGAATTTGCTTTAAAGATTTATCAGGCTACGCTCCGCACATCCAATCAATTTCTGTTTAAGGCTTCAGCTGTCAGAATGTTGCCAAGTAATCCATAAAACGCATCATTCGCCCGTGGGTACCCTGCTAAATATTAGCCAGCTCCCACTTTTTGCTCTGGAAAATTGAATTTATAGCGAATATTGATGGATGGATTGCGACGGGGGGCGATGTTGTTGACGTTGCTGCTGATTCAGTGCTCTGCCGTGTAGCTGAAATACCTTTTCAATTAGTAATTTTAATTATCGTAGCCAGGGGCAAGGTCGTACTGCAATTTATACCAGCAACAGTAGCATAACTCTCCACAAATGTACAAAGTGCACAACATTTTCGGCTCACAATGTTGGCTTTTGTTTCATTGTTTATTTGCGGAAATTGAGCGCAGTATTCCGGCTGTGAGATGTTGGACAACTTCTATTTGGGTCACACAAACAAACAAGCAAACAAATTGGCTGTGGCGACCGACCCGATTGTAATACTTACACTACATACTCCTTCTTGTACATATTTAGTACAAACATGAGAAACGATTTCAATTGAATGTCGCCCATTAGCATTTGATTTGCATATTTGCATAGCGGGGTATCAAATACAATATTTAATTTACACTATGCAGCCATTTAACTAAGCATGGAAATGCCAATTTAATTTGCCATTCATCGATTAAACTGTGAAACAATAAAAGAACAAATGACGAGTGTTTAACACAAGTGCTCTAAAATAATGGAGTTTATTTTACACAGAAACAATATCCATGAAACACTTTTAATTTGCTTTGAAAAGAAAACTACCACAAAAATATGTGCAAGTTTTTTGTGGTCGATTTCCTAATGGGTTTCCTGGCTCTTAAGAGCAGCTTAAGTGGTTGCTCACATTTCGGATTTGTTTGCGTTTTCCTCTCCAATCGATTGCACATTTCTGCTTATAACGCATATGATGCTTACTGGAAAAACTCTTAGCTTTATTCTTATTTGCGCCAAGAGTTTTCCCCAGCTCGGCTTGCAACATATTTGCACAAAATCCATTTCAATTCCCAGCCATTAGTGTCGCCGTTTAAAAGTGGCAGAAAAAAGTTTTGTTTTCACGCTTTGGCATTAAAAGAAAACAGTTGGCCCAGAAATTCGAAGAAAAAAATAACTGAACAAAAAGTGGCAGCAAAGTTTTGCAGTTTTGTCCGCAGTGCCCCGAATGGCCCCTTTGCTCCTGGCTCCAGCTTTTCTTTTTTTCCGTAACCATTTTTCAACTTTTTCTGTTTTTGGGTTTCCTCTCTTTGTTTGTTTTTTTGTTTGGTTGGCTGGCGGAGAAAAAATTAAATGAAAATAACAGCAGTAATGAAATAGAAATAAGCGTACATTGACTCTGCCAATCGAACTGGTATTCCATTCATGGATGTGGCTGTACATCCCATCGCCATCTCCCAGAGTTGACAAACTTTTGCCATCAACTCGAGGCACATGTGACTCTGGGGCTGTGGCTGTGGCTGTGGCTGTATAAAAAATATATTCTTGATCAACTGAAAGTGAAACTTTATGCAGCGCTGACAAACTTTTTAACTGCTTGACAATTAGTCATAAAAGTATACTCTTTTAGAATATCTTTTTGTAATGGCCTGGATAAGAGGGATTTTCAATTTGTTGATGTTTCCCAGAGCTGGTTTTTGCCACACTTTCGCTTTGCTAATGTCCTTGTGCGGTGTGCCTTTGCTTTTAAGATTTTGAAACAAAAATCTCTAATCTGTTGAAAGTTTTTTTGGCCCACATGCATAAGTGTGCAGCAGTTTTTGACTTTTGCATTTCGCCTAATCCCTACGCCGACTCTGCACTACGCAATGCTCTTTAATTTAATTAAAAATATCTCCTTCTCGTTTGGCTTCGTGTTTGCCAAAAAGTTTGCTTTGCTCAGCAAAAAAAAAAAAGGAAAAAAATATGACTAACGATGTGCAGGAGTAGTAGTAGTGCCCGCCCACTGGCTGACCAGGCACGCCTACCCTTCTAAGCCCTCTAAGCCAACTAGCCAGCAGGATGGGAGGAGCCATCCACGTGCCGGCAGTGCCTTTGTTGCTGCTGCCTCCACTGTGGGTCATATGGGTCAAGTGGTTGGTCAAGTGAGTGGGTGAGGACTGGGATCCGTAGCTGGGAATATAACTGAAACAGGGGACGCTGCCATGCCAGGGACTGAAGCTGTGAGCTCTGATACAGATGATACAGAAACTAGAACTGTAGCTGGGGGTCCTGCGGTCTCTCTTGTCGTAGTAGTAGTGGCATGGGTTAAGTGGTTTTTAATGAAAGTTAGCATCCGGTTTAATGCAACTTGTTGTTGCTAATAGGGCTATGGGTGAAGAGAAACCACGTGACTGGGGCCCGGAACTCAAATCGGGACCCCAGACTCATCAAACAACCGCAAAGTGAAAGCTCCAGTCGCGAACTTTCACCCAGACAAAATTAAAAGTTAAGTTAAAGCTTGGCGCAAAATTAAAGGGGATTAGTCGGAGCTTAAGGACACTTTCTATTAATTGTTTTGGCTTTCGAGGTTGCCCGAGCTGCCATTGGATGAGCGAATAAATTTATTACATTTATTGTACTCAATTTATGATCAAAGGGAAGGTCGCGTATTCTTTCCACGTCCCTTTGCTTCCGGCATTTTAATATTTGTTTTATTTTCTGTTCAGTTCTGTTTATTTTATTTGGCTCCTTTTTCGGTATGGGGCCACAGCCACACTTTGTGTATCTTTTTCTTTTGTCCCCTTCTGTGAGCTTTCGTTTTGGCAGTGCGCACTTTTTGCAGTACTTTTTCAGTTGATTTCCTGGCCCGCATGCTTCCTGATCGGAATTCTGTATTTCCTCTACGTCCATTACGAATTTTAAATGCAATTCAGCTTTGTTGTGGCACCGCCTTTCCTACCTTTTCATGTTAAAAATATTACGGTAACTGGTAGGAAAAAGTAGAGGGAAAGCGTACAAAAATGCAACTTTGAAGTTTGGCATAAATGCTGCAAAATGTTTTCCATGATATTTGCTTAGGGGATTTTTAGTTTGTTTTTCAAAGCAAATATTATTCTATGGTTTCACTCAATGAAAGGTAATCCTATTAAGGCAGGCAGATACTGCTATTATTTTAAACTAATTGGCTTGCATTTGTTATATTTAAAACACGTTAAGTGGGATACAAGTATGAGGATGAGACTGTTTTCTAGTATTCATAGCTCATAGATCATATTCTACCCTTAAAGTTTCCTAAATGAAAAGCAACACCCACTAATCAAAACGGCCCTGACACTTCTCTTTCCTACAGCTCGTTGTCTAAATTAATTTATTTACATTTGGCAACTTTTGCGAACATTTAATAAACCTAAACAGATTTTCATCTGTAACATTTGTCTTCCTTAGCCAGCTGCCGCCTCCTACTTGGCTGTGGCCAGGGGCTTTCTGGTTATCCATTTCCCCGGATAGTAGGGAATTCCCAAATGATTTTGGGCCTGCTTAGCATGCCTGTCGCCTGGCTTCGCCGCTCAGTGATTTTAATTAACATTTCTGATTCTGCGGCTTACCTCTGCCCCACCTCTGTCCGTGGCTTGTCTTTATTAGCACACCTGTGCGGAGAGGTTATACGCAGTCGGTATTCCTGTGTGCCGTGTGCCGTGTCCCGTGTCCCGTGTCCCATTTACCATGTCCCATTGGCTTTGACTTTGTCTGTCTCTGGGCTGGAACTAATTGAATTGCTACTTGCTTAATTAAGTAGAGAGATAAGTTTGCTGCTGATTAAGATTTTGTCAACATTTAATTCGTTTAATAAAACTTGATTAATGCACTTTAATCTCCATATATTGTATCTCTCTCCATTTGCAGACAGGCAGAGCCAATTCGCATTCAGAGTTCAACGAGTTGAAGGTTCAATAAACGCAAAACGAAGAGGGTAAGTTTTGATTGCAAATATTTGCTCCATCAAAGATTGTTTTGACAGCACTTCCAGAGTTCTCTGTGACAGTTGCCGTCTCCTTGACAGCTGCATTCATTCGACTTTGCATCTATGGCATTTATCAATCAAGGGGAATTATTCTCTCTCTATATCTACAAATTTATTTAAGCATTTCTCTTCTCGAGATTGCAACTTTTTCCGTACTTATTTAAGAAAAATATTTTCTATAAATTTCCAAATGTATTTTTTTTTTTTCTCTCTCTTTATATTTACAATCTGTTTTTAAACAATAAGTAAATTGTATAATTAATATTCAATTAACAGAAATAGCAGTTTTCCAATGAGCCCTGCTATTATATATAACATCTTTTTAGTTTGTTAAATTTATCTATCAGGGATATCGAGAATGTGGTATCTTTTCAGTCTTCTTACTGTTAGGCTATTGTCTAATAGACTTAAGGCTAAATTATTTTCGTGGTTGTGGAGTCTGTCGATGTATTTCTTACTAGTTTTCTTTATTTCTTCTTTAATGGTTGGAATATTCAGATCTTTGTGGATGTTTGCATTAGATACGTAAAACGGAGCATTGACAAATGTATTGACCCACAAAATGTTGCCTGGCTCTTGAAGGCCACTGGCTCCTGGCAACTATTTCCTCCTGGCAGCAACCGAATCAACGGCCAATCCAAACTTGTTTAACAATATGCTGACCATGGCTCAAAGGCAAAACTCGATATGCGAAAGAATGGGAGCAATGTGAAATGAAATCCAATATCAAAGCACAAAATGACTGCCAGCTACATACTCGTACAACTCGGATATGGACAAGTATATCGTTTGTGTGGGTGTGGCATGGGTGGGATTATATTGTATACTCGTATGTGCATATCTGTGTGTTCGACATCCTTAATCAAACACACGAGAAATCAAATTATGAGCAAGATGAGCAAGTAGGGACTCATATGCACATAAGGGAGCTGCGCAATAGGGAACCGAATCGAAGGTTACCCCTTTTTAGGTGTAACGCTTCCGGATTTCTTTATCATTAATTTACAATATTTTGAGTCAAGATATTTGGTCAATGTGGGATTTGTTGGGAAGCCACAGAGCGCAGCAGAGTCCCTACTGTTAACAGAGCCAATAACAGAACAAATAACAGTAAGAGAGATTGGAAGCGGCAGTGCCCTAACAGTGCTAACCGTGCCTTGTTAACAGTGCCAATAACAGACCAACTAACAGAGAGCGAGAGAGGGACAAAGAGAAGAGAGAACCAAGCCTCAACGATCGCTGCCGTTCAATTCGGCGCTAAAGACTCTCTCGAGAGTGCTAATTGAGTCTCAAAGAGTACTTGAGTATATTTCTCTCAAGGTGTTTAATATGTTATCCAATAACCACCTCCACAAATGCACACAATCCATCATCTCAAACTGATATACCGCCTGCCGTGTTGGGTATCAATCAGCAGCAGCCACAGTGCAGCAGCCCACACTGGCTAGGCAGACTGCCTGGTTGGCCTGGCAGCCAGCCGTCTGCCTAACTGATGAAAATGATAATGATAAAGAGGTCAGATAAGATATGCCTCGGAGATGCCTCGAAATGAATGGCTGAGTCTGAGCAAAAGGCAAGCACAAGACATGGCGCAAAAAAGCGAAGAAGGCGGTGGAAGAAGCAACATAAATTATGAAAAGAAATTTCCATGCATGTGCATAAGGAAACGGGGAATCGTAGCCTTGGCACTGCTATCTGCTCGTCGCCTTCGTCCTTCGTAATTAATTTGATTTCATTCATTCAAGTCAGGGAAATGCGAAAAGGACCAAAAGCAGGGAAAGTTAAATTAATTGAAAGAGCAGAACACACTACAAAAGGAATGGCGCGACTTGCTGCTGCTGCACAATCATAATTTTCAGCAAGTTGAAGGCTTTAAGGAGCGGCTCTTGCGGCTGCTGTTCTCTTCCATTGATCCAAGAGCTACCAACAGCTATAGCTTAACAGAAACAAAAGTCCTGCCCTGCGCTTTGTTGTCCGTTGTCTTCTGCTCTTCTCTCTACATCCCGGGCATGTCGACATTGGTAATAAAGCGCTCACTTGCATTTGTCCAGGATGGTGGGAGTGGAAGCGGGAGTAAGAGTGTGAGTGTGAGAGTGAATGCGAGTGTGTGTCTGAGAGCCAGTTTATGTATGCATATGTGTGAGTGAGTGTATGCTCGAATGAGGTTAAGAGCTTAATGAGTGCTGACAAGGCAACCTGTAGTTGACATATGACATTTTTATGTGCCTCGAAGCCTTCGCAACAAGGGTTTCCTATTAATACACAACTCAGGGCTTCCGCACAGCCTCCTCCTCCTCTGTCTTCCCAAGAAACAGAGCCCAAGGTAAATGCTAAGGTTTCGACTTAATTAGTGCCATGAGTTAGCCTCGTTTTTATGATAGTTGTTCGGCTTGCTTATACTCTTTGGAGAGGTAAATTCGTACAAAATGTGGCACAATTTTCGGTCATTTAACTTTGGTATTTTGGGTCTGCTGAGCATGTGTAGGAGACAATAATTTCCCACAGTTACTTATTTGCTAGAATGCGGCAGGGATATCCGTTGGGTCCGTTGGGTTTGTGTGTGCTGCGAAATGTGTTGATTAGGGGAAAATCCAATTGAAAGAGACTGTGGGTACTTTACTACCTGTCAATCCGAATGCAAATGGATAAGGGTTGTAAGAGAAGTGGAATCTATGCCACCACTTCTCCTTTGCTGTACAAACATCTGCATAAAATATGAATGCCATGCAATAAGTAGTCAGTGGAGAGCGGATACAGTGGAAAAGCAAATATCAAAACCCAAGGACCTTTATCTGTGGATATTTCCATTTGCATTTGGATATTGCATTATATTTTGCTCACTGATTGCAGGTGCACACTCGTACTTGTTTGTTTTAATAGATTTTATTTGCCTTTGATACCCGCCCACGCCCACTCCCACTCCCGCTTGACAATTAGTCGCAACAAGTCAACAAGTTATATAGTTGCCGTTGCAACGGGTCTAGCGGGACTATCGGCATGGTGGCATAGTGGCTGTGGCATGCCCAGAACAACATGTAAATACACCTACCTACCAGCAGCTGCCTTCTGCAATCCGCCGGCAGCGCCCTTCAGCTACGGCCACGATGAGTGACCACTGGACCATTTTGTAGTCAGCCACGTTGTTTGGCACTGTTGACCACTCGTGGCGATTGTTTATCTGACTCTGAGCTGTAGTTGTCGTTGTCGTTGTCGTTGTCGTTGTCGCTGCTGTTGATATTGCAAGCTGATGACATTAATTGTTACGTTTTCCCTTTTGTTACTATTGTAGTTAGTATCTGGTGGTTGTTGTTGTACTTGTAGTTGTATGCGCTGCTGTTACTGTGACGATTATTTACTCTGTTGTGCTTTTAACGCCTGGCTGAATACAAGTTTTAGCTTACCATTTTGTGGACATGATGGATTCAGTGAATGTTGATCATAATGAAGTAAACTTTACCCATTCCATGACCGTCCTCCTCAGCTCCCTGGCCCATATCTATTTCCCTAACACGCTCTTGAGTTACTATTAGCCCGCGTTGGCAGCCCGCTGGCAGCATTATTTTTAACGACAGCGAGGGGAGAGAGCTCTGCTCTGCTAGACAGTTTTAATTAAATTTCAATTAATTATTCATATTGCAGTCGTTGGCCTCTGTGCGCTGGATGGCCTCAGTTCCGAGGGCTTCATGTGCCACTGCCAAAAATGTATTACCAAAAGTGTGTTGCATATTTTACAACTGACTGTGGGCCACAAGGTTGATGGGAACTGAGTGGGTGTCGGTAGAAATATTTTTGGGGCAAGGCCAAAGCTGAGCAGAGACTACTAACATCTTGAGGTGGGAGATAAAGGTTATTCATCAAGCAGTACAGGTCTCGAAGCCACATGGAAGAGCAAGAAATTAAAGTATATCTAAAGCTGAAAGCTAACTGAAAGTCTGCCACCTGAAAGGGGATAATATTTATAATTTATAATTTGCACATAGGAAGAAGGAAGAAAACATGTCATCTTCAGTTAGGCAGTAGCTAAGCTTTTTCTATACTCACTTTCCACTTGAATGATTCTTTTGGACTACATTAATTAAGTTTAACAATTACATGGCATGCAGTGTCCACTAATTGAGTGCCTAATGTTCGGGTTCACAAGTCAATTACACGCACTGCACATCTCGCCGAACTTGAGCAAATCAGTTGACAGACAAGCAGCAGCAGCAGCAGCAGCAGAATCGCCAGCAACTCTATGCACAACTACACCTACAGCAACAGCAACAACGTGCGTGCAACATCAACAAGTTCATTATAAAAGTTAGCACAAAAGCAACGGCAGCAAAAAAAAAAGCGCTCGACTGGAGCGAACTGGAGGGACTGAGGCTCAAGCGAACAGAACCCACAAATGTGACGCTTCACTAGAACTTTGCAAAATTCGCTTTTTTTTCCCCTATACATACACCCCGTTAGACCATGTTAACTGTAGTTCCTGGCACTTTACACGGTTACGTTTGAGAGTAGGAGGTGGGAAATAGAATAAACGGAAATGATGCTCATTTGTGTGCGACCACAAAATGGAATGAGGTAGACGGAGCTAAAGGTCAAATGAAGAGTAAATGCTGCGATTAACAGGAAAATAAGAAACACAAAAAAGTTAGAGGGCTTTTGATACCCTGGAGTACAATTCACACATGACTATATGTTGAGAGCATCTTTAAAATAAAACTAGAAGTCATTTAATGGTTGCTTCTCTGCAGAGTAAAATATAATTGTGAACACCTAAACCGACTGACTAAGGTTTGACCCTCCTTGACTTAATCATGAATTCACTCGCGTAAAAGGGAAATAATCCTCCAGTGGAAGACCAACCCACGATCCCCTCGACATCAGATTCAATGGCTTACTGAGGGTGTCAGTCGAAACCTGAAATGACGTTGCAATTGAATTGTGAAAAGTACAAGGGTCCAAATGCGAAGTAACACGGTGGAAACATTTTCCCTTACACATACTAACACGGATGTACGATATGTATATAAAAACACTTGCATATATTCGCACTCCTTCATTCACATTTTGTTGCAGGTTAATGGCGCCAGCGAAGTGTGTCGTTGTCCGAGGGGGAAAGTGAATCCGTCAAAAGTTCGGTCTGCCTTTGCTCTTTGTTATGCACATGCATTGTTAACCAGGAGCCAAGTGGGCCAGGCTTACTCGTACCAGAAGCAGCAGCAGCAGCAGCAGCAGCAACCACCATTCATCCACTCGCCCTTTTATTTCCCGGAAGTTTGTGGTGGGAAATTTCATTTATGCTGACACTTGACTTGCCCACTGCTTCTGCCCATGTCTTCCTTCTATTTTGGCCCTTTCCCTTGAGAGTATTGTTTTTTATGCTCTCTCTTTTTGGTCGGGCTTAATTTGCTGCAAATAAATAATGGAAACAGACGTTGGTTCGATTTGGCCTTGGCGGAAGGGGCCCTGGCGTCCAATGAAGTTTGTATTATGTTCGAGTTGTGCACTTTTTCCATTTCCTCTTTTGGGGCCGAGAACATTAGAGCGGAAACGTGTTGACTGAGCAGGACGCAGAAGACGAAGGAGGAGCAGAAGGAGCACAAGTCACAGGATGTTCTGAGAGGCCAACAGACATGGATGCCTTTCGTTGCCCGGCGGGACGGCTAGCTCCTCCTCCACTGATATGGACAGTGACTTGCTTCGGTTCCGTTCGGTTTGCGCTCCCCTTGTAGAAGTGACAATTTAATTGTTTTGTAATTGCCAAGACTTTGCAGCGAGCACTGATTTATGGGAAAATTGAATGTGATTTATTCTACTGCGGCCTTGGTGGTCAAATAGGGTTGAGTGGAAGGCGTGAGGCGTGAGGCGAGAGGCGGTGACCCAAATAGTCAAATATGACCCCCAAAGGTCAGCCTAGCAATTGTTTGCCAAAGGCCACAGCAGCTCATAAAAAATGCAAATGATTTTGCAATATTGATTTGGAATTTGCAATTGAAAGCAGAGTAGAGGCTGCGATGGACCGATTAAGTGTGACTGGACTGAATATTTATATCGCGGCGAACACCAAACTCATATGTTAATCGGAAGCCGGCATATTAAATATTTAAAATGTGCCTATTTCGCTTAATTCTCCGCATAAAATTAGCATCTGGAATGTGTCTGTGCACTTTAATTTATGTCGAAACGTATGCAACAGGACATAAATCTGAATCGAAATATAGGTTAATGTGTTCTCCGGAGTTCTACTCCAGGGAGGCTGCACTCCCGGCTTTTCCGTCTGGCCATAAATCTACTCCTGCGGGTATGCAAGTGCAACATTTATCTAGGCAACTTTTAGGCCCAGCCATTCGAGTGGATGTAAGCACACGCCTGAGTAGGAGAGCGTGGGTCTGCAGGAACAAACTTCGCTAAAGGATTGCACTGCGTGTAATTGCCTGGAAAGCAGGGAACTTGTACACAAATAATCCTTCAGCAGCAGCAGGCGGCAGGCGATTCCATACCCTCCCCCGCCGAGTCACACCTCTGGCACAAAAGTTTCCTCTGTTGGTGCCACAAATGAAGTTAGTGAAACTGATTAACTCTCGGCAGCTTAGCTTGATTCTCAGAAGCTGCTGCTTGCCCCAGAATTCCGGCTGCTTGCTGCGGCATAATTGAATTTCTGCAGACGCGATGCGAAAGCCCCATAAAAATGATAGCAAACCCCGGGTTTCGTCCTCCCACTTAATGATAGTTTGTGTAACGGCGGCATTCGCTGCTTAATATAATTTTAATGGAATATTTGCCACCCTTTTGCAGTTGCATTAAAATCCAATTGCATTTTGTCAGACAAGCCTGACCTTGGCCAGGCGGGTGGTGCCGTTGCGTCGACATAAATCTTTCCTGCGAGCGACCTGCCTGCCACACCCCATGTTTGCCTTCACTTTGGCTCTTGAAATCTTTTACCACGGCATCAGGGCGGCGTCCCTCTCAGCGCGTCAATGTCGCGCTCCCGTCCCTTGTCATTTAGACGGTGTTTTAGTTTTGGTTTTAGTGCAAGCCATTTATTTAGAAACACCAACAGGGAGGGAGGATATCGCCATGACGCCCCCTTTTGGATAAGCAGACTGACTGCCCAGACAGACAGTCGGTCTGAGGGTCTGTGGGTCTGTGGATCTGGCAGAGACTGCGAGTTGGTCGCTGGGCTAATTCTGCCATTGTCCATGATGAATGGCTGGTGAATTGCATTTATTTAGATACACACTCGACAGTGTGTCTGGGCTTATGCTCTTCAGTTAAGCTGTTGGCTGTTCATCAAATGTACTTCCTTTATTTATGCAAAATATCATTCAAGATCTTATGCCACAGGAGAGAGGAAAGAGGAACGAGGAACATTTTCAAGCACTAGTAGTTGTGATGCTAACTGCTACTATATTTTATTCAACTCTTCATATACTACTCAACTAGTTATCCTTAGACCCCCACTTGGGCAAACATTTGCCCAACTCCGACTGGAACAAGCTTTCCTTTCATTCATTTCTAACATTCTCAATGTCAATTGCCCTCTGGCACTTTAAACGCTAATGCTTACAAAAGGTTACCATATATATTTTTGTGTTAAGAGAAAGCGAGCGAGTTGCTTGAAAGGTTAACATTTGCCATTGAATGTGACGTGTAGTCAAGGCGAGGCCACTCCTGGAGAGCGTGGCCTTTGGTTTTGCATATTAATTCATAAGATCCTCTCAAAACAGCACTTGAGCTGTGGCAAGTGTTGTGCTCTACCACAAACTAATATGAATACTCATCCACATGTAAATTAATGCGATTTATGTATGTTATATGAGGGGCTCTCTGACTAATTGAACTTGTCCCAACATTTGCGTTACAACTTTTTTAATGATGCTTTACCTTATCTCGTTGCAGCACAGAGAAAGAAAGGCAAAGGTGAGTCTTCAGAAGTAATTATGAACGTAAAAGTTATGCCTAGAGGCTCATGAGAATGTATTTACAATATAATAATTGATTTCCGTTGCCATAGAACTACATACCAATCGTTTGCTTATTAAATAATAATCCGGAACATATTTTATGCATTTTATTTTTGTCGTTTAATTCGTTTAATTAGTCATCAAATTGAATTTCTTGTTTACTCAGCCCAAAGAGCAATTAGTGAAAATATCCATAAGCTGCAAAGATTTTACTGCCCGCCCCCTCACTCGGTGCAATTATTATTCAATTTATGAAATTGAACTGACTTTTTGATCACCCAATAAAATGGAACATAAAATTCCGTAAGTGCTTCCATGCTCAGCATGGCTTACATTTCTGGCAATAGGAAAAGTAAAAAATCAAATCAATCCAAAAGAAAATGATCTAAAATCCATTTCTGGTTTGAGTATTTTCTATATTTTAGGCTTGACTAATTCTGCGGCTGCAAAGGGAAATAACGAAATTACTTTTGGGGAAATAAACGGAAAACAAAAAGGTAGCACTCTTCGTTGGCTCCTGGGAAAATCAAATTATAAAAATTTGCATTTAGTGTGGGTGAGTGAATGTGCAGAAAAGTAGGCAGAAAGAACTTTTTCCTACATCAATACACCTGGGAAAACCTGAAGTCGATGATGAGGATGGTTTTTACTTTTGGCATATTATTTTCTTTGACTTACTAAATTAAAAAAGTTTCCTCGTAGGGCCATGGAGGTGCGCTTATAATGAGCTTGTCATTCCATTGAAATGGATATTTTGGAGACTGTTTCAAAAAATGTCCATTATAAATGCCAATGACTTCTGGTATTTAGCGTGGCAACAAATGCGAGTGCAACAGTTTTTAATTGGCAATATCCCAGCAGCAGAAAGTTTCATACACCATTTCTGTATTTGTATTTGTATTTGTATTTGTCTGCAAAGTTTTCCAGCTCCGACATGTTTGATTAATGCGAAACTGCGTGGCAAATAATGAAAAATTACACTCGCCCACAAAACACACGCACATACATCAAATCCACTCCGTACAGTTTCCGACATAAAGCACTATAAAGCGTTCGGTCACACACACCCATACGCATACTGAACAACTAAAACTCACACAGATACGACTGCACACACTACACAGCAGCATAAAGAGTGCGGTGCACACTTTTGGGCGTTGTTAAATATAAAATTCTATGAATTTGTACGTACATCATTTGAAAATCGTAAA